TTGATGCCACTTGATAAGGCCGAGCACTTGGCAGGACTTTGTCATAAATAGCCAGCATTAATTAGCGCCCATCACTTTGTGGCCAATTTTATTTCACTTTTTTGCAGCGTCACTGCCATTATACGTATTTAAGGGCAGCACATGGGGTGAGCTCTTAGGGGTAAGCTCCCTTATTTTCATTTTTATTTTAACTCATATTCGAGAGCGCAAATTTATGACTTTATAATTATTTTAGAGTGCATATCATATTTATGGTCATGATGGTGGTAAATTGAAATTAAATAATAATTATTTTGAGAAATGTTAAGTATCAGGAAAGCTCTTTAATAATTATAATGCAGTTTGCAAATTTATTAATTTTATTTTTGCATAGCACATTCGGCAATGTATATCCAGCTTTGTTATTATAATTTGATCTGCTTATGGCCCTTTGGCTTAGGGATCCAAATTTGAGATTTATTTAATATTTATTAGAATTTTTTATGCTTTCAATATTTTTTATTTTAAAAAAAAAATATTTGTATTTAATTATTTAAGTTAACTACTACTTTAATTAAGATATTTTGTAATTATTTTTACAAAACTTGTATATTTACTAAATCAATCACTCTTTTAAAAAATAATTCTATTTTTTTTTTTTTTTTTTTTTTTTCTAATTTTTCTGTTCGATTAATTGTTCAAACGTAAAATTTGCATTTATTTTCTTTTTAATGCATAAATAATTCACTCAGTTATTCATTACATTTTTGTGAAATTATACGGAAAAGAAACACATCTTTTGGCACCTCCTTCCACTACAATGACAAAGAGTAAACAAATCTTGTTCTCTCCACTAATATCTAATATTTCAACATTGTTTAGCGTTTAGTGTTAAGGCGTTTAGCCCTATTGCCCAAATATAATTGAGCGTTTGCACTGAGATATTGATTTGGGCTTCTTGGTAAAGGAAATGAAGTGCCCATCACTCGAGCAATGAGCAATGAGGAATACGGAATGGCAGCAGAAGTCAAACCCATAGGCTCTGAGACATTATGGAAGGAGCTGCACAGTCAATGGCCAAGTCCATTAGCATGTGAGAGACGGGCGGACAGGCGGACAGAGGTGAGTTTCAGGCACGTTTAGCTCAACTTAATTAGCCAAGTGGAGATCAAAGAGGCGAAACCACCCAGAAGCCCAGCAGGCACTTAAACAGTAGTAGCTACCGTCCATGCTTGACACAAATTACCAAGTTTAATGCGACAGCCAACTGCCAGACAGCCGGACAGACAGCCGGCCAGCCAGTCCAGCAGCCAGTTAGCCAGTTAGCCTGGCTGTAAAATTAACATGACAACGGCAATACTTCAATAGCCCAAAACTCAAGCGCAAGCGGAAAGAGACTCTGTCGAGAATACATACAGATGCGCATGCATATATGTATGTATGTATGTATACATATATTTTTGGTGTTAAAATGGGTATAGCTGCATTTTATTATGATTATTATGATTCTCAACTGGCAAACGGCGAAAAATTACAAATCATCGTACTGCGAGCGGCACTAAACTCATCAGACGAGCCAGTCGGAGACGGACAGACAGACGGACAGGCAGACAGCCACTGGCCATCAGCAGAACCATCAACGGACCCATCAGCAGCAGCTACAGCAGCATCGCCATCAGCAACAGAAGCAGAAGCAGAAGCAGAAGCAGAAGCCGCCGCTGCCTTAGCGGTTGCAACGGTAGCCGATCGACTGCAAAACCAAACAGCTTTAATGGCCAACCTTTTGGCTTGTACACTCTAAGAAAATAGATGGCTAGGCACATGATAAGAAATCAGATCAATAATTAAATACACCAAATAGAAGAGAAACTGCAATTTAAGTGAATTCTAACAACATCTTAAACGCAAGTAACTATGGATATCGCATCGGATAAAGTTTGTTGTATTGAAAGAATTATGTTGGTCATAAAAATAGTAAACAGTTACGTCTTCTTGAAAATAATAAACAATTTTTAGTTTTACTTTAGGTAAAGAAAACTAAAATAAACGTATGGTATTTTTGTATTTAGCTGATCTAATTTAGTTTATATAGAATTCATAATTGGATTTGACTAAGGAATTCGACTCAATTATGTTGAGTAAAATTATGAATATTAAAAATATTTGTATTTACGGTTCATATCAATTTTTTTTTTTTTTTTTTTTTTTTTTTTTTTTTAAAAAAAAAAAAAAAAAAATTTAAAAAGTGTAAAATTGTAAAATGTG